AAAGGAATGCTTCAATTTCTTGTTCTTTGAGCCACAAGTAAATTTTTAAGAAAATCTTTTTTGGTTTGCTTCAGATCTTTTTAAAAACTATGGTGTTGAAAAGTATGGACCTCATTCAGTTTGTCTACTTCAGAAATCAGCATTTGTCATGGAAAAGTGTGAGAGGAAGCTGAGTTACCCAGACTGGGGGAGTGGATGTTATCAGGTAAACTATATGATTGTTAATAATTATACCAAATGCTATATAATTTCATCTCATTATATGGTTCTTCTATTTTAAAATGCATTTTTCATCTTTTCATATAGCTAATTTACTGATTAATACTTTCACATATCTTGTTTATTTATGTAAATATTAGTTGAATGCTTGTGTTTTGTGAAAATATTGTCATTTCTTTGAGAGAAATTGCCTTTCTCCATTTGTTTAAAAATATATTTAAGTGCTATATATCAGCAAATTTTATAATAATTTTACTTCTGGACATATATCCTAAGGAAATAATGGAAAATATGTAATTTTGTTCTTGAACAAATATTACTTTGTAATGGAAAAAGTTCACAATTTTATTTCATAAGATCTAAGGAAAGCATGGATTTAAGAATTAATAAATCAAGCACTGATTGATAGTAGGTGTTTTTCCTTTGAAATTAGAAATCCAAAGCAGACAAACTACTATTTTCTTAATTATCTTATTTGCATGTCTGATATTAGATGACGCATCACCTTATTAAGAACTTATTAAGGGCCGGCCCCGTGGCTTAGCAGTTAAGTGCGTGCGCTCCGCTGCTGGCGGCCCGGGTTCGGATCCCAGGTGCACCCTGACGCACCGCTTCTCTGGCCATGCTGAGGCCGCGTCCCACATACAGCAACTAGAAGGCTGTGCAACTATGACATACAACTATCTACTGGGGCTTTGGGGGAAAAAAATAAATAAATAAAAATTAAAAAAAAAAAATTTCTGTTGTTTAAAAAAAAAAAAAAGAGAACTTATTAAGATACAGGCATTCTGTAACTTAGGAGCATCGAACTTAAAGAATATTCCATACCCTACTAATGGATGTCAGGAGGAGAGTGTGATCCTGAGAACTGAAAAATAAGAATTTGTTGTGCCATTTCAGCTTCAAGAGCTAAATAGACTTCTGTAGCTGGGAATTTAACTATTATTTTTCAAGTTACTTATAAAATTAATTTTTCTTTGGTGACAGCTTTATTGAGATATAGTTCACACACCATACGATTCACATAAAATTATCTTTGAAACCTTAATAAAAGACAATTAAAAATAAACACTTTCCAGCCATAGTCTGACAACTGTAATCCAGCAACCATTTTCTGATAAATTCCATTAAAGATTTATGTATTGACTAAATACGTAGTTTTGACCTAGTTGTAATTATAATACATAATTTTGTTTTACTGCCTTCACTTAGTACTTTTTAGGCAGAGCAAACACCTTTTACCAGTTTTTCCAATAATAATGCTTACTATTCTTTATGGCTGTAGAACATTACATCATTTTAAAGTATCATAATTAGGGAAGTCATTCCCTTGTAATATATTGAGTTAATTTTCACTTTTCACTGTATAAAAATGCTTTTATAAATATATTTACATATTTTACCTTTTTTTAAATTTATTTTTTGAAATAAATTCCCATAAGTGAGATTATTAGGTTAAAGGGGATAAAGCTACAACAGTGACAACTATAATAAAAAGATGACCTTTCCAGGCTATTTTAATGTTTTATTACCACCACCAGCACCACCACAAAGGGATTTTGTAGATTTATAGTACCATCTACAAAGATTGAATGTACTTGGCTTCCCTATACCAATTGTGGTCAGTTAATTTTGCTAATTTAATACTAACTGCCATTTATGTGGGAAAATGTGTATGATTTCCAAACAATTAACATATGATTAGCTCGTTTTTTTGTTGTTGTTGTTTGTTCTACATATTTTGACAGTGAAGTTGCAAGAATGGTACAAAAAGATTTTTTCTGAGTCATTTAAGTACAAATTGCTTATATGCTGCCTCTTCAACCCAAATACTTAGTGTTTTTCTTATAAACAAGGACAAATTCATACATAATTACAATACTACCAAAAACATCAGGAAATTGACATTGATACTTCTAATTCTCAGACCCCGTTCAAGTTTTGCCAATTGTCCCATTAATGTCCTTGTAGCAATAGAATCTGGACTAATATCACATGTTGTGTAGTTGTCACATCTCTGGTCTCCTTCGATCTGGAACAGTTCCCAGTCTTTTCTTGACTTTCATAACCTTGACACTTTTAAAGATTACAAGCTAGTTCTTTTCTAGGGTGTGTCAGAATTTGGGTTTGTCTGGTGTTTCCTCATGAAATTCAGGTAGTATTTTGAGCAGTAATATCACAGAAGTGATGCTCGTGTTCTTCTGGTGGTACACTCTTGATTTATCCCTTTGTTGGTGATCTTGTTGGCATCTACTAGGCTTCTCCACTCCACTTTTTCTCTTTTAATTAATTCCCTTTGTAATTAATAAGTATTTTGGAGGAGATACTATGTCAATAACTTGTTTCTTATCATACTTTCATTTTATTAATTTGTATATTTATATCATTATTGACTCCCATTTTATTCAGTGGATATTACCATTACTATCATTACTTATTTTGATGTTCAAGTTCCCCAAGATTTGGCCAGAGTAAGCCCCTTCAGGCTGGTTCCTGTGTCCTTTTGGCCCGTCCTCATCTCTCTTTGAATATTTGCTTGCTTTCTGGCGCAAGATTTTCTGTGCTCATCTTTACTTTCTTTGCCCCAGCCCTGAAATCAACCATTTTTCCATGGAGCTCCAGTTTCTTTTAGTGGAGTGTGGTGTTTACAGACTAAAATCTGGGTGCTAGAGGTGCTATTCATTGCTATTGGGTATAGCTACTCCCCAGGTTTTCTTGGTGAATAAAGTCAAGAAATATATGTATGTATGTAATTTATATATACACTTGTACAGTGTGTATATATATATAACCATGAGTTTGCACCAATATTTTTGATTGCAGTCCAACACCAAAGGGTTCATTTTAGTTTTCTCCCTTTCCATATTTGTAACTCCTTTCTCCAACAGTGAGAAATCTGGCTCTCATTTTCTTAAATATAGCTTACTTATTTGATCTGTCCACTTCCCTTCAATCTTTGCCCACCCCTACATGGTTACTCTCCTCACCCACTCAGACTCGGATACAACTCGCCAGATCACAACATCTCTCCCTCACTGTGATCCAAATCCTGTGCACATCTTTAGGATATAAATGCTCTTTCTTCCACGAAAATTTCTAATCTTTATTGCTCTTGTTTCTACCACTTATTGAGTCTTAATCATAAAACAGTCTGACACTTAATTTGGGGAAAAAATTTATATCCTGCCCTTCTCACCTCAATTAAAGCTGCAAGAAGGCAGGCATTGTGTTATGGACTTCCTTGGTATCCCTTTCAGCACCAAGCATGGTACTCATTCAATTCTCACTTAAAAGAATGATTACATTGCACTGTAGCTGTGGTGATGCTCACTAGATGTGGGTCATTGAATGACAGGCTTATGGAAGAGGTTACATTTTGTGGTTGTTTGTTTTCTTGATAGCTTATTATAACTTAAATTTCCAAATGAGTATTATATTTGAACTTAATTGATGATAGAGTTATTTCAAAAAGCACTCCATTGCTGAAATATGTTTTTGGATCTCCTCTTTTGAAATTGCCTTTAGAAATAGTTTACTAGCCATCTAAGAAAATCAGTTTTAGTATTTTGCATCATACCTATGTTAACCTTGTGTTAACCAGTTTAGTTAACTTCCTTAACCAGACTTGGTTCTGGGCAACTTTAGGGTATTTCCAAAAATTACATCTACTTGCAAAGTAAAAATTTGCCACCATCAGACATGTTCAGAAGCATGCACTTGCTTTGAAGGTAATTCCAAGAGAGAAGTTCCAGAAATATTTAAGTGATGTGAAACCTTTGTAGAAAACAACTTTGAAGAAGACACAGTCATTTTAAATTTTTTAAAAGTTAGCTTTAATGTGTTTGCTTTTTAAAATTTGACTTCATTAGTTACCCCTTGTACTTGAGATATGAGTCCTGCTTTTAAGGATGTTACCAGTCTGTATAAAATCACTATGATCATTTTTATCTCTGAAAAGAGGATCTGGGATAGAGAAAAAGAATAAAGAACTTTTACTTTGTACTTCTCTGTCTTGTGTGCTTTTTTTTAATAATGAGCATATATTATTTTTATAATTTAAAATAACTAATACAGTTTGATTTACAAAATTTAGTGACTTCTGGAGAGAATGACATGATTAATGGCTCTTTGACAGAGATTTAAGCTGAAGTATCTGAGGATACTGGAATCTACAGAAATGTTATTCTTGATAACTTGGCTTCAGGTGTCTGTGAATCCAAATGATGTGTAAAGCTGTGTTTTGCCTTATATTTTTCAAGGAAAGTGTCCAGAGCTTTCATCAGATTTTTAGAAAGTGCTAGACTAAAGTTTTAAGAACTACTACCAGAGAGTGAGGTTCTTTTAGAACCTGAATAACTTAACCCTCTTCTTATGAGAGTAAAGATATGCCCACATCCCAAATTGTGTTTTATAGCCAGTATTTTTATTCTATAAAATTCTAACATATTTTCCTGCAGTCCAAGGAAAAGTCTCATATAATAGAATCTTACTGGTCTGATTTTTTTTTTTTCCTATTTGAAGGTTTCTTGTTCTCCACAAGGTCTGAAGGTCTGGGTCCAGGATACTTCATATTTGTGTAGTCGGGCCGGGCAAGTCCTCCCTGTCAGTATTCAGATGAATGGCTGGATTCATGATGGAAACCTGCTCTGCCCATCATGTGGGGACTTCTGCGAGCTCTGTCCTCCAGAAACAGATCCTCCAGCTACTAACTTGACCCGAGCTCTACCACTGGGTGAGTAGTCTCCATGGTTGGAGTAAAGAGAGGAACTTTTCTTATAAGATGTTGAAAATTACGTTCCAAGAAGCTCTAAAACAGGTTGAGCATCTTCTCTTCTAATTGCAGTTTTATAGGAAAATCTCCTTCCCACCATTGTTAGAAATTGAAGGTGGATGAACTTGACACCTCTATTCAGTAAGAGCAAGGAAACTTTCTGTATGGAGAACCTTTGAATTGCACAAAAAAATTCACCAAAGCTTGCAAAAAGTGAATGTTTCAACCATCCATTTTGAAATTAAGGGTAAACAAAATTCTACTCATTAAATACAAAAAAGGAATTGAATATATTTTAGTTATATTATAACTAGGTGAGGTGAATGAGAGAGAAAGACACTGGAAAAGATGCTCAAAGAAGGGATTGACATGCCCATAAATAAGAAGAGAAAGGCACAAGAAAACACAAATACACACACACAAAGTGAGATAGAAAGACAGGCTGGCAAAGACAAAGTGGTTCTCATTGAGAGATATTTTACTGATTCTATGAGACTCCAGAGAGTGCAATGGAGACCAATATAGATTGAAGTTGTAGGGAGACAGATCCCAGTTAAATCCTTTAGAAGCAGGAGAGGAATGGAAAGGACTGCCTTGAGAAGAGTGCATTCCCCATTAATGAAGATGTGCAAACTGAGACCGATGACCCATTTCCTAGAGTTATAAAAGCAGAATTCATAAATTCTCAGTTAAAGCTTTGACCTATGATCTATGAGATTTTCATTACATGACCTATGAGATTTTATGCAGTTTGACATTTTAGACTATTAATAATAAACATCTTATGTAATGTTTCCTTCTCTCGACTGGAGGTATTTTTTAAATGGAACTGTATAGCCCTTTGCCTGTTCCATGGTCTGATTGAAAATGGAGGGCTACATTCACTTTATAATTCAAAGTTTCTCTACCTCTAATATTTAATTTCCTTTCTTTCCCAAATCCTAGGGGCTTTATCTAGACATGAGCTATGAATTTTGAGAGATTAGTGCTTGTGTTGGGGTGCCCAGGACTACCCCCAGGTTTGGTAGTTCTCTAGGACTCACAAGACTCGGCCTCTAGTTGTACTCATGGCTAAGATTTGTCAAAGAGAAAAGATACAAAGCAGAATCGGTGGGGCCGGGCTGGTGGCGCAAGTGGTCAAGTGCGCACGCTCCGCTGCGGCGGCCCGGGGTTCGCCAGTTCGGATCCCGGGCGCGCACTGACGCAGCACTTGTCAAGCCATGCTGTGGTGGCGTCCCATATAAAGTGGAGGAAGATGGGCATGGATGTTAGCCCAGGGCCAGTCTTCCTCAGCAAAAAGAGGAGGATTGGCAGATGTTAGCTCAGGACTGATCTTCCTCACAAAAAAAAAAAAAAAAGCAGAATCGGCAAAGAGAAAAGGGGCAATGGAGCAAAGTCTGGAGGAAACTAGTTCCCTGACACCAGCTAAAGGCCATCTTTATAGGCAGGACTTTCAAAGGATGGAGATCTCAGGCCTGCTGTGTTGACTGTTTTCTGCACAGTACTCCAGTGAGTCAGCTGAGTTTTCTGCAGTTATAATATTAATGACACAATAAATTGTTTGAAATGAGGTCTCAGGTCCTTTTGATGTGGTATATAGTAAATGTAGTGTTAAATACTCTTAGTTAACTTTTATTTTTACTATGAAGCTGGTAGGATGACTTAATTTTGTTGTTACTGTTAAATTGCTTTGGCTAGAATTAGAGGGCTGCTAGTCTGCAAATAGGTGGTTCTGATGGAGTTCCCATTCTCAGGCCTAATCTCAGAATTACCTATAAGAAACTGTCACCATCTCATTGTCCAAGAGATGAGCAGAGATTAAACTATTAGCAGTTAGAGTTGAGATAAAGAGAGTTAGTTACTCCAACTGGTTCAGGGGTAAGAATCTTAGGAGTACAGTAGAAGAATGTGTAGGAATGAAGAGAAAGCCAGACCAGGTCAAGGGGCTATGAAATGATTGGTTCCTATCCTTGGAGCATGACAAAGACAAGTGAATCTGTAGAAAGAAGGTGAGGAGTAGAGATTTCTGCGCCCTCGATTCTACTTCTTCTTATCCTGCTCCGTCTTTATCAGTCACTCTTCTGATGTTGTGGTGCTGTGCTGTGATTTCTTTCCCTGTTAACCAGTGCTATGAGGAAGCATGCTCGAAAGAGCACTGTAACCTCCAAATCACTACCACAATTTTGAAAAATGTGTAAAATATTACAAGAACAGATGCCTTTTAGGCATTGCTTTTTGAACATTATAAGTATCGCTGTTGAAATCCTAAAATATCCTGACTTCCCATATTTGCTAATGTATTTTAATAGAGCACACACTGAGTCTTTTTTTTTTTTTTTTGGTGAGGAAGATTAGCCCTGAGTTAACATCCGATGCCAATCCCCACCCCCCTTTTTTTTTCTGAGGAAGATTGGCCCTGGGCTAACATCCGTGCCCATCTTCCTCTACTTTATATGGGACGCCGCCACAGCATGGCTTGACAAGCGGTGCTTTGGTGCACACGCAGGATCCGAGCCTGCGAACCCTGGGACGCCGAAGTGGAGTGTGTGCACTTAACCGCTATGCCACTGGGCCGGCCCATACACACACTGAGTCTTTACTGAATATTTATTAAACTACGTGCCAGGGACTGTAGCAAACTTTGCATATGCTTTTCTTTTCAGTAAATAGTTTGTTTCTTTTTAATACTGTTATTATGACCCACCAAACATGTAAAAATAATATTTGATGCTTTAAATGTATGAGAAATACTAATAAAACTGCTAATATTCTGGAGAAAGTGTAAAGGATATTCCTCTCCTCAAATACTTCTGATTTTTGTTGTTGTTCTCAGGTGTTAGTTCACACAGCCTTTCTTTTTTTTGAGGAAGATTGGCCCTGCGCTAGCATCTATTGCCAGTCTTCCTCTTTTTCTTTTTTCTCCCCAAAACCCCAGTACATAATGATATATCATAGTTGTAGAGTTGTAGCTCCTCTATATGGGACGCCACCTCAGCATGGCTTGATGAGCGGTGCGTGGGTCCGCGCCCAGGATCCGAACCAGCAAACCCCAGGCTGCCGAAGCAGAATGCGCAAACCTAACTGCTACGCCACCGGGCTGGCCCCACATAGGCTTTTCTTAATTTTTAATTTCTTTTAGAATTTAAAACTTTCATCTTTTCTCTCTCCTTTTCCCTAGTCATCACTTCTAAACGCTAGAGTGTGATTAGATAGTTGTCCTATATTGCCTAAGATAGTTTCCATTAGTGAATATGAAAGATTTATTTATAAATTCTTTTTGGTCTCTTCAGATTGTAGGAGTTGTTTTTGTTTCTTTTATTGAATGCTAGACACTTTGCCAAGTGCTTTATGTCTATATCATTGCGTTTAATCATCACAAAACCTAATGAGGTAGGAATTATCACTTTACACATGAGAAAACAAACTAACGTATAGAGAGATAGAGAGATTGTCGTGTATCCCCTGTCACAGCTAATAAATAATGAGATTCTGGTCATCTCCAATTCATTTTGAAACACCCTCTTTGAATCCGTTTGTTTTAAAGAGTACTATCACAGAAAATGCACTGTTTTTGAAGGACAACAAGTGTTCCAGAGCTGCCATTAATGTTTTAATAGCTTGTTAAATTTTAGTGCCAACAGTAGATAAACAACAACTAGTTTTCCTCCCATTTTGGGGGGACCAAATTGAGAATCAGGAGATAAAGGGATATGCCTGTGTTAGTAGTGGCTCCAAAGTCCATTCTTTATTCCAGCCAAGACCACTCTACCTGATGCTCTAGGCCAGAACTTATCCAATAGAACTTTCTGGGTTGATGGAAATGTTCTAGAATCTGAACTGTCCAGTACAATAGTCATTAGCCACATGTGACTGTTGAACATGGGAAATGTGGCTAGTGACTGAGGAACTAAATATTTTATTTCATTTTAATTAGTTTAAATTTAAATAGCACGTATAGCCTAGTGGCTGCCGTATTGGACAGTGCAGCTCTAGGTCAGAGGTTCTCAAACTGCAGCGTGCATCAGAATCATGTTAAGACAGAGATTGCTAGGCCTCATCCCCGGAGTTTCTGATTTGGAAGATCTGGGTTGGAGCCTGAGAATTTTCATTTTTAACCAGTTTCCAAGTGATACTGATGTTGCTGATCCTTTGAGAAGGACTGTTTTTGACTAAGTGGGATTTTTCTAAGGTTTAACAAATACCAGCTGATTCCATTGGGGAAGAAAAGAAGTTCTGCATGGTTTACCTGGATTACATGCAGTGAAATAATTTTTTAAAATAATTGTTCCACACTGTATAGTGCTCAGAAGAGCAGGCTCCAGTGCCTTGACATTATCGTTCTATTTATTCTATAGCTGAGGACCAGCCCTATTTTTCTTACCTTTTAAGCAAGTCAGACTTGAAGCTTGGTTGGTTCTTTATTCATCAAAGTATTAAAAAGGACAATTCAAATTAAAATAAAGTCAGGTTGACCTGGTCTTTTGACTGCTGTAAAAATGTTTTCCATTCTGAGAATTGTTTTGGGAAATCGGTTTAGCCATGAGAACAACTTATGGCTAAATTGAAATATATGCCTAGTGCCCAAAGCCAATAAAATCTTCTGCTGTTTCCAAATCAAACCTGGGGTGGTATGAATAGGTGGGTAGATATTTAAAGATCGAGGACCATATGTCCTAGTTTGCCTGGGACAGTCGATATGCCTGTTGTCCTGGTATAATTATTAACAGCATTCCTTTGTGTTAAAATAATCAAAGAGAACAATTTAGTTGATCTAAGCAAATTCTATCTCACACTTCATGAAGTTCAGAGAACTCTCAAGAGACCAGAGAACTGCAAAATAAGGGAAAAGGGCTACAAGCAGGAAACAAGGAAGAAATACTCAGCTTAAGTTGATTGGCTGAGGTTGTGTATCTGACCTTATTTAGAAAGATCAAGGAACAAGGAAGTAAGTATAGGGCCCAGAGTTGGCTTGGTGGTTGGAGATTGGCTGTGTGGATTTACTTTGTTTCTGGTCAAATGGAGCATTTACGAGAACACGCAAGTTATCTAAGTATCAGTTGGTTGACATGGCCCCACGGGCAGGAGTGGCCATCTTGGGACTAGAAATTTATTTCAACACTTGTCTCAAAGTGTCCTAATTTGGGGTGATGAATGATATGGTCATCCTACTTAGAAGGGGCAAGGAAGAATAGAAGAGGAGGGTCCTACATCCCATGTCAGAATAGCCAAGATACTCGTTTACTTTCCTGTGTAACATCTTTAGCTTTGCTGGGATACTACCCGAAGACACTTCTTTCATTTTTTGGGTGCTGTTTTTTAACCTTGATATGGTAGATACATCTTTTTTTCTTCCTGCTTAAATATTTTGTTCTTTTTCCATAAATATAAAAAAATGACGTGGCATATCTGGGTTTCAAGAAGTCATTCTTGATTCTGCTCTCCAAAGTAGTCCTTGTTCACCTTTTAGTAATCATCTTTACTTATCTGTCAATATTTAGTTGGTATGATTCATTCCAAAAATGTCTACAGAAACTCAATTTTTTGTTTTCAACCCTAGATCTCTGTTCCCGTTCCTCTAGCCTGGTGGTCACCCTCTGGCTTCTTCTAGGCAATCTATTTCCACTGCTGGCTGGATTTCTTCTGTGTGCGTGGCACTAGGAATGGAAAAGTGAATTCTCAAGACATTCCTTTGTGTCATGTTCCTCTGAACAAAGCACAAAATCTGGGCAAGTGCCAGCCTATGCAGATGGCAGAAGTGGCATTCCTGACTTAGGCTTGCAAGTGTTGACCACAGTCAGACCTTGAAGCAGAGCTTCACCACAGTCACTCTTCATCAGCAACCCGGCAGCCTCAGAGCTTGGAGAAGGAGAGGGAATTCTAAGTCACCAAGTCTCTTTATTTTTCAGGATATACAACTTTCCTGAAGTTTTCCTTTGAAAATGAAATAATCGGTGAAATTTTCAGAGTGATTACATACCTCAGCATTTTCATTAACCTGAAACGATGGGAAGTTCATCAATACTGCAATAACTTAAAGAATAGCTAATTATTGCAAGTTACAAGTTGTGAATCCTGTCCTCAAAAGTGTAAATTGTCTTTTGACTTCCAGAAAATAATTGAATTGGGATTTCTGCATCACATTATACCTGTTTTGAATTTAATGGCTGTACATGGTACCCTTAAATCATTGTTGTCATTGTTCTAAAAAGTGTTTTTTTTTTTTGAGGGAGATTAGCCCTAAGCTACCATCTGTTGCCAATCCTCCTCTTTTTTTTGCTGAGGAAGATTGGCCCTGGGCTAACATCTGTGCCCATCTCCCTCTACCTTATATGGGACGCCACCACAGCATGGCTTGATAAGCGGTGGGTAGGTCCACGCCCAAGATCCAAACCTGTGAACCCCGGGCCACCGATGCGGAGCATGCAAATTTAACTGCCACGTCACCGGGCTGGCCCCTAAAAAGTTGTTTTTTAAATTATGTTTTGCTAAATCTTGTGATTTCACCTTTTTCAAACCAGCCTGTGTGGCAGTTTACTGCTGAACCGTTATGTGTTGGTAGCCCTCTTCCAGCTGTGTCTGTACTCGTTGATCTTCAATGCTCAGCTTCCAGTTATATTCTCCATTTGTTTAATCATGACTTGAAAAACTGCGGAAACAGAGAGAGAAAAGTACTCTGCCCTGTAAAAACACTGGAGACATGCAAACAGAGGAAAACGTATTGTATGTTTTTCAGATAATAGTTATGACAACTGTAATGCAACAAAAGTAGAACTCTTCCTTTTTGACCAATGAAGATAAAAAGAAATTCTGTTATAGACAGGTATGCAGTTATTTTCAAGTGATCTTAGAAATTGTGACAGAATTTCTACTATCTGAAAATTATTTTATATATAAGAAGAAAAATATAAGCAAAACAAGATGGTCTGAATTGTTTACTAATAGCAAAGTGTAGGTTTGGCATAGGGCCTATCCAGTAGGGTCCACTTTACCACACAACATGTGACAGTCCACCAAAGTGGGAAGATTGCCTCTGCTGTAAAAGGAGGTGGTGTCCTTTGCCTCCTGCATTTGACACTCTTCCTGTTACTACATAGACTCTGGTCCCCAGAAGCGATTCTGCTCTGGTACCAGAGCTTATTAACCCCACTTAGTAATTCTAATTTGAAATTCTTTAGTGATGAGTGATGCACAGTTTTCCTCTCTAAAGCTAGTGAAGTCCTGTGGCATTATAAACACAGCCCTTGGACAAGCATTTATTCATTCATTCATCCATTTGTTGGCCCTTTAACTCAGCATATAGGTATTGAACTCTCCATTTAAGAAATTGTGCTAAGTAGCAAGCAGCATAACTACTAAGGAGTAATTCCAACTGACTATTTGGCACTGGAGCCAAACAGCAACCCCAGCATAAAGGAAAGTCACCATTTTTTAATGCATAAATTTAAAATACCTATTAGCGTGTAGTTTTAAATTGCAGGTATTTATCATTGTGAAAAGCTGGGAGTCTCTGGCATAGCCGACTTCAGCTAAAGAGAAGCTCAAAGTAATGGTGTCAGGTCAGAGCTCGGTTCTCTGCCTGTGTCGTGCATACTTTAAATTGTGCAAGGTCAGAGAAAAGTGTAGAGTATATTTTTAAAGAAAATTATAAAAACCTAACTTATATACCTATTGTGATTAGGAATCATCCTGCAAAGCTGTATAAAGAATTTCACCAAAAATACTATGGGTTAATAATATATTTGAGATTCACAATGATAGGTTCAATTATATTTTGACTGTCATGCAGTAATGCCATTTAGGTAGTATTGTTTCCGAGCATGGTGCTTTTTATACTTGAAATATATTTTTGCTTTATTTTCTATTGATATAATTATATTTGCACTAATGACTTTCTGAAGAAAATATTACAGATGACATTTTTTTCTATATATATTTATTAAGCTTGGATGCTGGTAGCCCAGTGTTTTCTCTGCACGAATGTGAAACTCGATAAAGTATGATGTTAAGAAGTCTTGAGTTTCTGAGGGTAACTAACTGTGCTGGTCTCTTCCTTTCTCTTCAGCAAGTCTTGAAAGTGGTTGCTTATCACTCATTCTGCACAGTGTACTCAGTGAAGATTTAGAGGGCCACTGAACCTGTAAGAAATTTTAAGAGACATGTTTCAGTCACTTAGAATATGGCAATATTCTAAAAACAAAGACTTTTAAAATCTGAGATTTCAATGCAGAATTAGTGGGCTAGAATTCAGCTTTGAACTGAAGAATTTGAAATGGCCTAAATGTCGGTGTCCTGTGGCAGGTTACATTCTTCATGTTAACAAAACTAGTTCACTGAGGAAGAGACGGAGCAGACTGCAGCCATGGTGGAGGTGAGGTGGGCGAGGAAGGAGATTGAGGAGGAGCTGGTTGGGGATAGTAGATTAGAGTCCCTTTCTGACTCAAAAAGGGTCAAGTGCTTATAAAAACTGACTACCTCAGTTTTCAGTTCAGAATTGGGTTCATTTTGATAGTATTAAGGTCCCAAATGTCAAAATTATCAAGTGAACTTTTTCTCAGGTTTTCAAGAACAGAATTTACAGGAAGGAAGCAAAAGCCATGTTAGTAGACTTGAGCTGGCAGCTTTAAAGAAACTGGCAAGGCAGTTAGTGTTAATCTAGACCCCTCTAATATTCTCCTAGAAAACATCCTTTCCCTTACTTATTTCTTAAGGATACTTATTTTTGTTATGACCGAATAGACATTCTAAAAATGTTATAAATTATGCTTAAGATTAGTTTTAGCCTAATATGTTGGCTTACAGTTTTATCAATATTTGAAGACAAAACATAAATTAATGAAGTTTAAATAGTTTTAGAAAGGTACATGAATAAATATACCAGAGTATGTCATAAAATTTTATCAATATTCTCTTCAATATAAGAAGACTCACTGAGACCATCTGCAAAATGACCAGATACTTTCTCAGAATCTTTCCAGCTCTTATATTCTATGACTAACACTCATCCAGCATTGCTAGGTCACTGCTGGCTCTGATCCACCTCCTGGAGTATGCCAGCTTGCACATCATGTTCATCGCAGCGGCTTGTATTGGATGTCTTAGCACGCTGTCCATGTTCTTGAACGCTGAATGGAGAGAGAAGAGCCTGTCTCTGAGGACACTTGAGTAGTCCTGGCAGGAGGAAGTGGACTTCAGTCACAACCCCACAGACCCGGTTCATAGTGGGCACCAGTCACTCGAGCCATGTCCTTGCAGCCCAGGAGGACTAACATTTAAATAAAGTCTGCTATTCATTCTGAAGAAAGAACTTACCTGAAAGGAAGACCCTTTTTTTAGATACATTTAGTCAGGGTTGGGGAGGGAATGATGAATTATTTTCTTTTATGTTTACATTTTTAATAAAATAGAAGATTTAAGAACTAATCTTTATTTATGGTATTGAACTTGAAGTGTAATATGTTCCTTAGAAAAATACAACTTTAATAAAAATGGAAACTAATCTGCATCTTGTCTTAACACCATCAATTTTTTAAAACCCAGATGAGGAACACAAATATGGCCATGTACTCTATTTGGGGAAGATGAAGTGTTTATTATGAAACATAATTCGGTTTTTATTTTAACTGGAGTAAAACTGTCCCACTTAAAGAATGGGGACAGGTCTTATGTAAAGCTACAGGGAGTAGCCCGCCTCAAATAGTTAAGCAGGGAAGAGAGCCAACTAAAACAATTCAGGGCAGCCGCCTCTGGCTGAAGATTGTTCCAATCCCTTTGGCTCTACGCTGTGGTCCAGGAGTCTCATTGCATGACCACCCTGGCGTTCAAATACCATACTTGATGCCATGGTGTCAAGTGGACTGTGCTGTAGTCGTGGAGTGTGAGGCTTCCTCATAACCTGAATGCAGTTTAAGAGAGTATATCCAGGACGTACTATTACCATGTGCGCTTAGAGCCATTCTGCCCTGTGGCATGGAGCCAAGCACTTTGTGAAATTAATTGAACATAGCCTATGTGACCTAACTGCTGAGCTGAGATCTTTGTGGGAAATTTTAATAATAATATTTAGATTTTTTTTTGTTTTAAATATTTCATATAAGTAGCTAAAACTATATACAATCAATTACTTAGTTGAATAAATCCAATATTATTTTCACAGTAAATTGAAGATAAAGCTGTCTACATCTTGTATATTATGTTGTTTACACTACCTTTTGGTGTGTTCATAGAATATAGCTTCTTTAGTAGGCATTATTATATAAGCTAGTCTTTGTCCACAACCTCTCCAGTAGATTTGCTGAAATGGAGGATTTACTTAAATCAGCTTTGTTCTTGTTCCACCAGAAGTTCATTCTTTAATGTTTGAAAAAAACTGGACATATTTGGAGATAGTAGTCCAAATATGTGATCTGATGTTCTGGTAGAGCACCAATACCTTTCCCATTTATATGTATAGAAATGTTTTTTTTCTGCCTGTAGGCATTAGTATATCTTAGATTCAATGCCACTTTAACACTCAATGCCACTAACAGTCAATTTTTTCAGTTTCAACAAAAACATTAGTGACTTAACAGCTTTCTGACATTGTCTTATTTGAAAATCACAGTATCTGAACACCTCCTGACTTCCCCTCTCCCCATTAGGTCTCTCTTAATGACATTTCAAGAGGGCTACAGGTTGATTGGAGAAGATTTCACAAGTGCCCACACATGGGTGTTCATGAGTGTGTATACAGTGAAGGTTTTGATGTATTTGGCCGAGGATATGAAAACTTAATGTCAGGGAGGTAGCCGAAAAGAATAG